TTCAATCTCCTCTAAGTGCTTATTGCTCTATAGAGAGAAAGGATTAACAATTAGCCAATAAACAATTAAAGTTGATACATGGCTAATGTTTCACTTTCAAAACGAAATATGTTATTTTATCCTATAACAAGAAAAGTTGTTTAATTAGATTAATTAATAAAAGTGCATCAACTCTATAATGTCATTTATTTTGAAGAGTGTATGGATGAAATGAATTTATAGTCATTAGGGTCAAAGACCCATAAACAAAGCTTAGTCAATTAATGCTAGTGCCATCCTTGTGACATATAACCTAGAAAAATTATAATAATAATAATGATAATTATAATTATAATAATAATTAAATGTACAAATTTGTGTCTCAATAATAGTTATATTTTCTTGGGATAAATATGACAATAAGAGAAATTGGTGTAGTGAAAATTAGGCTGATATTTGTCAAAAGTTTCCCTGTTCGAATCTGAAAAAACCATGAAGGGTTTTATTTTTCTGACTTCGCCTTATGCCATTACAAGATCGTCCTCCTTCAAATCAGACAAAGCATGCACTGTCCTCCTTGATTCTTCCAGATTTAGCGAGAGCAAAAAGAGACCTTCTATGCATTCTCTGCTCTTCTCATCCTTCTCGCTGTCGTTCTGCATTTCTCTCCTCACCGCCGACAATTGTCTGCTTCCCTTTTCTGCCGTTGCTCATCCGCCACTGTGAAAGTCAGTTGTTGGAGGTTGCATGCGTGTGTATGATACAGTAGAGAGAGAAAGCGGTGCTATGATATTTCATTTCTTCTTCTTCTTTTGGACCCACGCTGTCAGTATTCCCTTCCGTTTCAGCCTTAGTCATCGCTGGTGTGAGTGATCACCACTGCTTCATTCATCCGCCATTGACAAGTGCTGGAGTTTGTTTGTTGCTGCTGTTCGTCTGCAAGGTCCCTTCGTCCTTCTCTGTTCCAACTCGTGTTGGCCGTGATGCGTTGAGCTGCTACCATTCTATTGCCGTCACAGGAGGCTTAGGTGATCGAAAATTTCAGTCTTGCTGCTCAGTTCGCTGTAGGTGTTGCTGTTGTGTGAGTTCTCCTTGGTTCTCCGTCATTTTCTGCTCGTCTCCTTTGGTCCACTCTGAAATGCTTCTTGTTTTTCTTGCTTTTGATGCTGTAAGTTAAGTCCATGGGGAAGGAAACACGCAAGACTTGAGGTTGCTTGCGAAGGCCTGTTATTGAAATTTATCTCCTTTGTTCGGCGTTCAAGTTTCGTCTTTTCTTTCCTCTGTTCGTCCGCCACTGCACAGCTTAGCTGAGTGGAGGTGAGGAGTCTTGATTCTTTCCATTGTTAGTTTGTTGTGTGTGTGAGAGTAAGAATAATAATGTTGGAATTGTAATTTTTCTCTTTTCTGCCCGTGCGTTGAAGGAAGAAGAAGGTTCAAATTTGAGCTGGAAAAAAAATTGACTTAAAGCTTGATAATGATGTACATATGGGTCATGAATGTGAAGTTAAATAAATCTTATTGGATTGATTGATATTAAAGAATTTATTAAAGGAGATTGGAAGAGAATAGCTTTGATATATTACTTGAATATTGACATCAATGAGAAGCTTATTGAAACATTTGAAATAATCTTAAAGCATGAATTTTGGTTTTAGATTTTAAATGATAATGTTGATTGAAATTATATTAAGAGTAGAAGGAAGTCTTTGTAAATTAAAGATGATTTATTAAATTTTGGTTACTAATATCTTTATAGGACATGTGGAAGAAGAAGATTCTGATAAAAATTGAAGAAGAATATTTTAAACATTTGAAATTTCAACAAGTAAGTGAATAGCATTCCCTTTAATTTATTTTTATTTTTAATAAACTTTTACTAAAATATTTTACCCTTATGAATTACATTAGTTTTAAAAATTATGCAATAGTAATGATGGATAATTAGATGGTGATATGTACATTTATTTCCTCAAGAAATATAATCCAAATATTTATGAAATTATTTTTTTATTAAACTTTGGAAATTCTTGATTATCCAATTAATGTAAGCTTGTATATTATTTATGAAATATTATTTTCAACAAGTATTAAATTGAAATTTGAACTGATTCATGCAAGTTGGGTATTGAAAATATGAATTATATTTTAAAAGTGATTATTTTTCTCACATGTTTGAAATATGATTTTAAAAGGACTTTAAACAGAACATTGCTGCTAACGATAGTTCCATTAGCTCATAGCGCTATGGTTAAAAATTATCTAGTTGCCTCATGGGCTTTAATCTCATGTTTGTTATTCAAGAGCTTTATATTCGCATTTAATTTTGTGGCCTTAAGCCGCGTTTGGTTAGTATTGCCCGTGTGAACTATGTGTCCATGTTTTTTTGTGGCTTTGGCTGCATTTGGTTACTTACCCTCGTGGACTGTATGTCAACATTTATCTTCGTGGCATAAGTTGTGTTTGGTTATTTATTTTCATTGACTGTGTGTCCATATTCGTTACCGGTTCTATTGAGTTTTCATAACTCTAAATTTTGATTAATATGTGTTTTTGAAATTTCAATAGTTTTGGTTGGCAAGTATATTACTTTGATTTATGTGTGAATAAATTATTTTCTTTAAGCATGATAAAATAAATTGCTTTTAATTTACTTTCATTTTACAGTTATAATTATGATTTACAGACTTATAAGTTTATTATGTTGAATCATCATCTTTTTAATTAGTTTACACTGTTATTTGGTTTATTATTTTAATTCTTTTAAATTTTATTTTGGGAATGCTATTCACTGAAAAATTTATTTAGTCTTAAATTGTTAGCTGACGCTAATCTTATCATCGACCTCTAAAGGGCAATACAATTATACTGGGTGAAAATTTTGCTTGGTGTTGCTACCTTTTTGTCTAAATATTTTAGAACTCATGTATTTTAAATTTAGAAGAAAGATCAGTTACTTTACATAGATTATTGTTAAAACTTTATTTTGATTTATATACTGTTTGCTGGCTAAAAGGAACTAAGCTCCTAACTGATACTTTATTCTGTAAAATTTTTGTGTTGTAAAATTTTTGGGAGATCCTATTTATAGGGAAGGTTTTGCTAAAATTTCTACAAAAACGTTGAAACCTTGTTATAACAATTAGTATTAAAATTGTTAGAATTTTCATATAATTTGATTAATTCTTTTTCTAAAAATGGAATGAATTTTCATTTTAAGGCTTACAGGAATGTGTGAAGTGAGTCGTACCTGTGTTGGTCACCCTCTACTTTCAGGATGTGACACAATATCCACTCTAACATAAGATACCTAATAGTTGCTTTTCTTAAGGTAGCATGCATAAATGATATGCTATGATGATGATAATGATGTAATAAAACATTTTCTCATTTTGTGTCCTATTTAAGTAATCCTCAATTTTAATGTGTTTTTAAATATTAGCAATAACTAATTTAGTTAGCTACTAGCCTTCATCTAAACATGTATAGTTTTAAGGTAGACTTTTATTCATGATAAATAAAAGGTCCCCAAGATGCTCTCACTGCATGATAAAGACCTCACTTAGTCATTTTAACCCTCTAAGAACATAAGTTCCATAAGGGCCAAATCTACTGAGTAAGTAACGGCTTGGGTAAGGCATTCATAGTAACCTTCGATAGTTCAAAAACTCTATAAGGAACCACTATAAACCTCTACTAACATATGATACTCACAGACTCGGGTATAGGGCCTAAAATATTCATGTGTTGAATTGTGTAATTGCATAGTGTGTGATAAAAGCATTCAAGCATGTTATCTTATTCTTATATACTACTCAACTGTCATTTGCTAATCAGATCAAATAAGGAGAAAGAACATATGTATAGATAAAAGTCTTCTATTCTAGGATTTATTCCATATGTTATCTATCTTAAGATATGTTATGAAAAAAAAATAAAAAGAGAAAAAAAAGGCATACATGAATTAAAAAGAAGAAGAAGAAGAAGAAGAAGAAGAAGAAGAAGATGATGATGATGATGATGATGATGATGATAATACATTTTGAGCACAACAAACTTATATAGGATTGACTTTCTAACTATCCCTAGTAGAGTCGCCAAACTATCGCACTCGAAAATGCAACATGGACAGTACATGAAAGTAGAGGTTCCAGCCTTCAAAGCAAAAATCAATAAAATAAAAGTCACCATCAAAGTTTTGATAAAAATCTTAGAAAACTATTTAAAGGAAATAAGAATGATAGTGAATTGAAAAAAAAAGGTTCGAGAGTCGATTGAGTATGAGAAAAATATTAGACATCTCACAATATCCATTCGTGAGAACAGTTACCTGAAGTTAATTATGCTAAATTAATATTATTTTAAATTTATTTTAATTATTCCTTTCTTATTCACATGTTTAATATAAAAAATGATAATAATAAATGAGTAATATTTATTTATTTACAAGAGAGAACTTGACCTAGAATCAGAATCTGGGGCCTACTTATCTTGTGATGAGAAATAAAATCCACATAGTTTAGAATTATAAGTTTTTTTGGTGAGATTTTTTTGAGAAATTAATTAAAAATAATATACTATTTTATAAATAAAAAATTTTTTGAAATGTTGATATGTATATTTTCAACCGAAAAAAAATAATTTAATTTTAATTATTTTTTTAATTTTTAAATTTTGATATTTCTTCCGTTAAAAAATATAATATATTTTTAATTGAATTTCACTTTCATAAAATAGTTACTTATTTTAAATTAATTCTATTTTTTTTATGTTTTTTTTATTAAACACCCTATAATAAATATAAATTCATTCATCAATAAATTATTTTTTAAAAAAATAATAATTATATCTTAAAAATTAAAAATATCTTATATTTTTGAGTATCTAACTTTTTAAAAAATATTTTATATTTTTTAATAAAAGAATATATAAAAAGAAACATTCTATTATAAAAGATTTAAAATCATCTCTCTCTCTCTCTCTCTCTCTCTCTCTCTCACACTCACACATTCTGTAAGATTATTGGATTAATCGTTATATCGGTAAATTAGTTTCACTCTCTCTCTCTCTCTCGATCTCTCGAGTTAGAATTGAGTTTAGGCCTTTGATTGAAAATCCCTAATCCTAAGGTGCTCACGGGGCTCACTCCGTTGCCTCCGATCACCGTTGCTCAGTGACTTAGTCCTCTTCGTCGCATCCGAGTTCGACCTCCGTCTGAGTCTGTTGCAGCTCGTGTGTTTTGTGTTTCCTCCGTTCACCGTCTTACCTGGGCTGCTCGTGAGCTACGCCGTGAGTTTCGTCAACTGTCTCTTCTTTGCTCTACATATGGTTTCATCAATATTTTTATTTTCAAATTGGAAGCTACTATATGCAGAAGCCTGTGGGTCTTGTTTTCAGGTACAAGAAGACCACGACCATCGCATCAATAAACCCAAATAGTGTTTACTCAGCTTGGTATTGATACAGTGGCTCTAAAAAAGCTCAGCATTAATAAATCAGCACACTCAGCCAAATCTGGTTATCAAAATGGACCAACAAATTCTTGTGGATGAAAACTTTCCACTCTTCTCCAAATCTCATAAACCCTCGAAAAACAACTTGCCAGCTGCCTCAACTGCTACAGCCACCACCGCTGCTGCCGCCAAAGACATTAACTTTGATAGCCAGCACCTTGGAAAGTTAGATGATACCGATCTTGATTACACCAATCCCACTACTTTCGCAGAGCTTGGACTTGCGGAATGGGCAGTGAAGACTTGCAAGGAGCTCGCAATGCGCAAGCCTCGACGGGTGCAATTAAATTGCATCCCGAAGATTCTAGATGGCCGCCATGTGCTTGGCATTGATGAGACTGGAAGTGGTAAGACTGCGGCATTTGCTCTACCAATTCTTCACCGATTGGGTGAGCATCCTTTTGGGGTTTTTGCCTTGGTTTTGACGCCAACGAGGGAGTTGGCTTACCAACTGGCGGAGCAATTTAGGGCATTGGGTTCATGCTTGCATGTGCGGATAGCCGTGGTGGTTGGAGGGATGGATATGTTGGAACAAGCCAAGATTTTAACATCCAGGCCGCATGTTGTGATTGCCACACCAGGAAGGATCAAGGTTTTGCTTGAGGATAATCCTGATATTCCTCCGGTTTTTCTAGAACTAAGGTAATGCTGATTCTTTCCCTATTAATTGAATTTCAAGCTTTGTCCTTGCTATGCCTTTGTGGTTATTTGATTGTTACTCTAATCAATGTTGTTTATTATTTATGGTTGAAGAGATGAGAAGAAGAGAAAATAGAGAGGAATCCGAAAGACTGACCTTCATGAGTCTCCTATTTGTAGGGACACAAAATAACATACTTTTGACGAATAGTTTCAGAAATAACTTCCCTAAATATTTACAGTCAATTGCAATCTATCCTGATTATTATTTACAATAAAAACGGAATCACTTATAGTCAGGTGATGTTATAATCAACTTTAAATCATATCATAGTCAGCACTCCATCTCAAGCTTGAGCATGTAGGTCATTTGCGCACAGCTTTTTGCAAACGTAGGAAATATGGGGGTCCTCTTAATACTCTTGTGAGAACATCAATCACCTGGTGATTGGAGTTGATGTAGCTAGTGGGAATAGTTCCAAATAGGATTCTGTCAATGATGAAATGGCAATTAATTGTTTTTTTTTTAATGCGTTTGGTCCTCATGAAAAATTGGATTAAAAGCAACATGTACAGTAGCAAGTCACCCTTTTAGGTCATTCAATCAAGACTGCAAAATTGAACTGTGGAGTAATTGTTTCATTAACATAAGTTCATGTGTTGCCAATACCGTAACACTGGTATTCAGCTTCAGGATAAGATCTTGCCACACGTTGTTTCTTGCTTTTCCAAAAGACAATATTTCCTCTAAGAAATATAGAGTAACCAGTAGCATATCAGCTATCAGTAGGTTATCCTGCCCAATCTTTGGCAGCCTATCCAACCATTTGGGAGTGTGTTTGATCCTTACAGTGTAAGCCTTTACCGAGTTCTCCTTTGATGCATTTGAGGATACGCATGACAGCCTTCAAATGAGTGAATATGTGTCCATTGTAGGAATCAACTTGCTACACTCATAGCAAAAGATGTCTAGTCGAGTAATTGTCAGATAGTATAATTTTCCAACTAGTTCTCTAGGATCTGTTGAAAAACTCCCCTTATCTCAGTACTTCTCTCTGTCCAAACATAGGGTTGGTGAGTGCTGTTGAAGGTTTTGACAATTGACATACCTAGAAACTTACTTGAAGTGATAAAAAAATTAAGTTTCATTTTTTACAGGAATTAATGATTGAGCATGACCTTTTGTCGTGTGCTTAAGCATCACATGTTTCACCTAATGACTATTTTACTGAAGTATTCAACTTGTGCTGCTCTAGTTCCTTGTATTAGATGAAGCAGATCGAGTTCTTGATGTTGGCTTTCAGGAGGATTTGAAACTGATCTTTCAGTGCTTACCAGAAAATCGGCAAAACCTATTCTTTTCAGCAACTACGACAAGTAATCTACAGAAGCTGCGTGAGCGTTACCAAAACAAGCTCTATGTCTATGAGGCCTATGAAGGCCTGAAAACAGTTGAGACGCTTAAGCAACAGATTATATTTGTCCCTAACAAAGTGAAGGAGGTTTATCTGATGCATATGTTGTCCAAATGGAAGATATGGGCATTCGCTCTGCCATTGTTTTTTTCTCTACATGCAGGTATTATTTCTAGGTGAAATGTTGCGTGAATTTTTTGGCACCTTTTTTATGGTATTGTGCTTTGTAATTTCCCTTTTTTCAGTTCATAATCATGTGTAAAGGTTTGTACACGCTATCAGCTACAATTATTCCTTTTTATTGCTAAATAATTGCAGGGATTGTCATCGTTTAAGTTTAATGCTAGAAGTACTTGATCAGGAAGCTGCAGCTCTCTATTCATTCAAATCACAGGCTCAGAGACTTGAAGCACTTAATCAATTTAAATCAGGAAAGGTTTCTATACTGCTTGCAACTGATGTTGCCAGCCGAGGTTTGGACATTCCTACAGTTGATCTAGTCATCAATTATGATGTCCCAAGGTAACCTTTCCTGCTCAATTTCATTTTTTGTTGGTTACTTTCTGAACACTTGACATCACTGATTTTAAGCATGCCTGCAGGTTCCCTAGGGATTATGTTCATCGTGTTGGCCGAACTGCAAGAGCAGGTAGAGGAGGACTGGCAGTGAGCATTGTTACCCAGGTAAACCAAAAATTAGAAGCAGACTTTAAACTTGATGTTCTCTTTCCTATGTTGTGATGTTTTGTTTTTTTTTTTAAATGCATTGCATTCATAATTTATCACATTAAATGGCTATTCTTTTTGCATCATTATATGCGTCTTTCAGTGCATATCCACTTCTCAAAAAAGAATCACCGATGTTGATGTGGAATGTAGATATTTTGGTGCTTAAGACGGGAGAAAAGTGCCAAAACTTTTGTAGACAAATCTTGCCACTGCATATTTACGACATAATGTGCTTTGTCAGGCCTGTGCTCAGCTAGGGGTTTGTATAGAGGGGTTTCAATGGCAGATGCAGATATTGGTTGGCAATCTTATCTTTATCTTTGTTCTCTTCTCAGGAGAAGAGGGTGGGGAGGATGGGGGGTTGGGAAAACAAATATAAATTAAAATCAAGGCCATTGTTTCTATGTCACTAACATATAGTTCAAAATGCATATCAGGAAGAATTGGATTTGATGGAGCTTATTTCTGTAAATGTTTTTTGTACAGAACAGTATGTTGCATTTTTGGTCGGTAGTTATAAAACATCATTTTCAGCTTCTAGTTTGACTTAGTTCTTGGATCTTCATATGATTTCGTTGGATAAAAAATTGGTCTTGGCTGTCCAAAAATGAATTAAGGGAACAAATATTTCCCTCCCTTTCATCATCTATTTCGATCCTTCTATTGTTTTGCTTGGGTGCCCATATGTTCTCTGCTATTTCACAAAGCTTGTACGCGTGTTCAATTTATTTATGTATTTCTTACTTTCTTAAAGATAGCTTCTAAAGCTATTCAAATTATATTTCACACTTAATTGTTAATGGAGGTATTTTATGAGTGTATATTGGCATCTGATTTCTTTCTTTGCATTTGCAGAATGACATTCATCTCATCCATGAAGTAGAAGCTCTTCTTGAAAAGCAACTAGAGTTGGTCGAATACAAAGAGAACGAAGTGCTTTCTCTGATGAAAAAGGTACGAGACCTTTGGGTTTATTTTATGGTCAGGTCATTGAATATCTGATCATCGCTCAATAAGTGTTAAATCTCATGATGAGTTATGTGATGCGAACATCATCTCATTATTTTTTTAACTTAGATCAGACTGGCAGGTTCACCCACTGACCTGGTGAACCAGACCATTCTGTAGTTCAGAGAGTCAAACAGACTGGACATGTAATTGACCCAGTCAAAGTTACAGTTTTTTTTTTTTTGGCTTGTGTTTTTGATTGAAATCTAGTAAATCTATTAGTATCCTTGTTTTTTTAACCACCATCAGTTTTTACAAAAACGCTTACTGAATTGGATGAGAGTAATCTAGAAGCCATAGTCTCATTTTACTGCAAGGAAAGCCCTTTAACTACTGCGATGGGAATGATGATGGTTAATGTGTATAATTACACTACTTATTTGTGGTTTTGTTTATTGGTAGCTCTAAACACTAGCCTAATTATTGATGGGAAAATTAGATCAGAGGTCTTATTTTTGGGTGGCTTGTTTTCTTTGATGTTTTTGCAGGTTTTCAGCGCTAAAAATGTGGCAGAAATGAAAATGTTGGATGATGGCTTTGAGGAGAAAGCACAAGAGCGGAAAAGGCAGAAACTGAAAATGTTGTCAGAAAATGGATTATTAAAGAAAAGGAGCAAAAAGAGGAAAAGAAATAAAGGCCTCAAGGAAGAAGGAATAAAACATGAAAAGGAAGTGGAAACATTATCAGATAAAGATCACAGAATAAAAAGAGTAAGAAGAGGAAGTGAATTATAAAGTTTCTGATGAATTAAGTGTGAAGAAAGGTGAACGCTGACAACGCTGCAAGAGTAAACGTTTCATTGAAGAACCAAACTCGTGGCAAGTGGGAAAGATTGGATGCTTGGGAAAAGAACAGAAGCAGAAACTGAGAATGCTAGTGGTGAATGCTTCGTTGAACAAATTGTACGGGTGATTTATTGAAAGACAGATATGTAGGGTTTTAAGAGTTGAACTTGGTATAATAATCATAGAGTAAAATCGTGCAAAGTTAACTCTCAAAATTTTGTAGAATCGTTTTTTCAAAATAGTGGGTTATGCTAGAGTTATTTGTTAGGCTCCCGTTGGCATTAGGAGGAGGAAATTCTTACATTTTTGTAATTATAACTCAACAACTATTTCTTTTTATATTGATAAAATTAATTTTTAGTTTTTCAATTTTTAAGTTACTTATAACTCAGTTTCTCAATTATGATTCATTATGACTCAATTTTTTAACTATAATTCGTTTATGACTTAGTCTCTCAACTTTTGAATCACTTACAAATTAGTCCATTAATTTTTATTAATTTTTTTATATTAGTTTATATCTCACATTGATGTGCAAGAGGAGGGTATTTTAAAATAATATATGAGTTTTTTTTTATTCCTCTTATTTGATAAGAATTTTTTTAAAAAAATTTAAAAATAAGGATTAAGTTATAGGTAAATCAAAAGTTGAGGAACTGAGTTATAGTGAGTTATAGTTGAGGATTAAGTCGTAGCGAGTTATAGTTGAGGGATTGAATTACAAGTGAGTTAAAAATTGAAGGATTAAAAGATTAATTTTTTTTTTTATATTTTAAGAAGGAAGAATGACAAATAAACCTATGAATGGTAGAGTATCATGAAATGGGGCAATTTCTTTGAAATTTATAGTAACTAATCTGACATTTTTTATTTTTATTTTTTTTATGTGAAATTATGTTGTGATCTTTTGCAAAATAATAAACATTGTGGTGGTTAAAATTTATTTCTTCTGCATCACAATATAAGTGTTTTGTCTTTGAAGATTTGAAACTTTGTTTGATCTAAAAAATAAAATATTGGATAGGTGTTTTATTTTTGGGAAAATTTCAGTCGAGGGCCTTAATAAGAGATAATGAAAAAAAATATCTTTGAATTTTTGAAAATTTATTGAAGGACTCATACAGATTTTTGTTTAAATTTGTAACAAAAATGATAAAATTATCTTCATTAAAATAAATAATATAAATAATTTATTGTTTTCATATTGTATGTTGTTGCTTTCACTTGATTTCATTCTAAAGTCGAGTCATAAGCAAGTGAAGTGAGAAAATGAACAGCATTTTATAAGAAAATAAAACAACATACAATATGAGAATAAACAAGTCGTTTTATCATAAAATCAACATTTGGAATGAAATCAAGTGAAACTAGGGCTATAAATAAGTGAAATAAAGAAATGAACAACATTTCGTAATCAAACAAATAACATACAGTATGTGAATGAACAAATCATATTGTTCATTTAAAAGAGGGCAATTTTGTTATTTCTATTACAAATTTTAAAAAAATTCCATACGGTCCTTTAATGAAATTTCAAAAATTCTGGATCTTCTTTTTCATTATATTGGGTCAAGGGCTCCCACTTGAAATTTTCCTTTTATTTTTTTAATTACACATCTACTTAATGAAGGTGTTTTGAATAAATTAAATTTTATATTTACTAAAAACATGTAAATATTTTTAGAAAATTAAGATTTTAACCAATTTTTTTTAGAAACATAAATTATTTAATAATGACCTATATTTTGGTCTGGAAAGAGTACATTGTAGTTGTTAATGATGAAGGTGAAATGATTAATATAATAAGCGTAGTTATTGTATAATTAAATTGAAGTTATGGCAAGCTTTGTAGTTAACATCTAAATTTAAAATGCTAATTATTAAGATGTTAAAATAGGGTGCATAATTATTATTGCATGATTAAATTAACAACTTCAGGTTATGCTTTAACAATTATGTTTTCTATTATTTTGCACAGGGTTAGACATAATTTCATGAAAAAAGTTTGTTAGACAAATCCCTAAAAACTTTGGAGTAATGATACCATTTTGTAGTAGTCTTTTATTATTTGCTTATTTGGATAGATTTTTTTTTTTGCCAATTTTCCAATTTTTTTTTTCATTCCATTTCTTTAATTTCATTTCAAAGCAAATTTATTGATCTTATGCTATATTTGGTAAGAGAGAAAAGTGAGGGGAAGAGATGAAGGACAAAAGTGGAGGAAAATCTACACCTTCTCTTGCTTGGCTAATAAAAGAAAAATGAGAAGGATAAGAAGTTTGGAAAACATAAAACGTGGAATTCACATATTTTTGCACCCAATATTTCCCTCTCCAAATAAGAGAAAATTTTGAAGAGAAAACTCTACTTCTAAATTTATCCGTGAGTATTTTCATTTCTCACTCTTACCTTCCTCTATCTCCATATATATATATAATATATGTATGTATGTATATGTATGGCTATAGTTTAAAATTTTTAGATTATGGCATATTTAATAATTTTACAAATAAAATTTAAAATTGGATAAAATAATTTGCAATAAATCACATCTCTCTACTTTCCTTTCTCTTCTCTCATTTTCTTTATTTCCTCTTATTAGCCAAACGGCACATTAACGTCCTAGGAAACAGCCCTTTTTTTTTTTTTGTTTTGTTTGGGCAAATAGCTTAAACTATCAGGTCATTGGTGCTTCGGGATATTTAACTGCAGTGAATTTTCAGGAGTTCCCATGGTCAGAAAATACCCATGTGAAGGATTATCAGGTGATACAGCTAAACACCTGAACTTCTGTAAATTATATTAGAACTACACATTTCATACCAATAATTTCAATTAATTTTCAATTAACTCTTCCGCCCTGATCTCTGTATCTAAAGTCATCTCCCGTCATTATGATGTCTCCTATGTCAATCATCATTGAACTCAATGTCTCTTCTTCTATGTCACGTTCTTCCCTTCGACGCCTGTAATCTTCATCATCATCATCATCTATACTTTCTCTCTCTGGACTCATTCTTCGAGTCTTGCCTGATCTGGTCTCCCTTTTTAGTCCTATGATCTCTGTCATCCATTCTTCTCCTGTCGTCATGGCCATCATCAGCTGAACATGAACCATCCTTCTTCCTCTTCTCCCTATCCCTGCTATACTCCTTGTCCACTGTTCTCCGATAATCTGCATCCGGCCGTCTCTCCGTACGGCTATCATCCACGTATCTCTTCCTAGAGTCTCGATCATCTTTCTGACCATAACCATAGTTGTCTCTTATGTCTTTCCAAATACTTATCTCTGTCCTTCCTCTACACGCGGGAATCCGCATCTCTTCCACCTCTTTTATATCTTCCTTTGATGCTTCTATCACCAAACGTATCTCTCTTGTCTGAGCCTACCATCTCTTGATCCCTGCGACCCCTATGCATTACTTTTCCTCTCAATTGAGTCATCCTTGTCATGCCTTCTGTGTCACTTTCCTTGCCTTGGACTCTACCTGTCATCTCTATCGAACACCATTTCATAACTACAACATGAAGCAAGTGTCACACATTTGAACCGATAAACAGAGACAGATGCATGCAATGTTGAGTGCAAACCTGGCATTATCCCCATCATGTTGGGCATTGTCATCCTTCAAGATGTACTTCGTGGTTTGGTTATTTTTGGCATTCGCAGTGCAATCTTTGGCAATGTGATCTGAAGAACCACATTTGAAGCAGCCCTTAACTACACACGATTTTGTATCAACATTATGATAGCAATTGTTTACATCCAAATACCTGCATGGTGAAATAAAAAAGAAAAAAAAACTAGAGAAGGCATTCTGCGCAACTCCTTGAAAAGGACCAGACATAAACATCTCTATCCTTACCTTTACCAGTTCGATCTTTGCGCCAATATTGTGACCATATTTTTGCCACACACTGACTAAAATCCACATGTATCCTTCGATCATCAATCAAAGCATTATCCACCTGCAGATTCAGGGGAAAAGAAAACAGGGATAGGGAAATAAGTTCTTTCATTTAGTTACAGGCAATTCTTTGAAATATATCATCGCTAAAGACACATCTTAAACAGTTAAACTCGGGGTGGGTATAAACAAAAAACCAAACTGCCAGTCCAGTAAAAAGTCTAAAAGCCCAATTTAAATTCAAAGAGACGGAATACAAATCTTAGAAATATATCATCACTGAACACACATCTTAAACAGTTAAACTCAGGGTGGGTATAAACAAAAAACCAAACTGCCAGTCCAGTAAAAAATCTAAAAGCCCAATTTAAATTCAAAGAGATAGAATATCGTTGAAAGCTAACACAAGCAAGCAGAAAAATGCATTGACAAAACAATTTTTCTCTAAAAAAGAATAAAATGGATAACAAGTGACCCTTATTTTTTTAAGTGATTTATTCAGTTTAATATCTAGTTTTCCATTGATTTTTCTGTTTGTCGACTATGGCAATTTATTCAGTTCCAAACCAATAAGAATCTTGAACTTTCTAACAAGTGACGTCTCAAGTTGAATTCAATTGCAGAGGGGAAAAAAAATCAAAAACAAAAAAAATCTAGTTTAAGGTATTTCATAGATTTACTGTACTTTTACTAAATTTGGAATGTAATGGATATATTTCTTTGACTATATCTAGTTTAGAGTGAAATTTTTTCACTTCAACAGGAAAAATAACTAAATATTAGGAATGAAATGTATACATATTTTAGCTATATGTAGTTTTGAGTAGTAAAAAAATTCACTTCAATACAATTAGACAAAAGTAAATATACAGCAGCTTTAACGAAATTGCAAAGTTAAGCCAACCTTCTTTCAGCATATTCTGCATATGGGGATTAACAAGATCTGTGTTTTTGGTGGGTCACCGTTCTTCCAAATGATGCTTCCACCTAAGAAGTTCATAGCAAAGCAAAATTCAATCTTGACATGAATAAAACTGCAACTTCTCCAGTGGAAGGGAGGATGGGCTCTCAAAACTCAAGTGATCAAATCTTGAGTGCCATAACCCACCTGATATGATGTAATCCAATATACAATATGAGAACCATCTTATCTCTTCTGGGAATTGCTTTCATCGCTGTCAATCTTGATCAAGAACATTGTAAGGAATGGGATGAACTAAGGGAATATTGCTTTGAATATGCATCAGGCAGTGATAAATCTTTTTTTTTTTTTTTATTGGATCCTGCCATGAACAAAAGTGCTGTTGTGGAATACTCCTACATGAATGAGACACAAATCAAGTCAGACCAACTGATACATACTTCACCCCCAACCCTAGTTAATTGTTAGCAATTGTTTATAAATGAAGTTTTTGAAAAATATTGTTAATCACTAGTTTCAGTAATTTGAGGTATCATGGAGATAGGATACTATTTTGGTATCAAAGAGGGGGTCAAAGAAGATACACAAATACTGATGCACAATCAAATACACCCTTCAATTTTTCCTTCTAGCTGAATAAAAAATTAAAATACACCTATGTAGCTTCTCTAAGAAAAAATGGAGAACTACTTATCAGCAGCAGCTTCTCCTCCACATACAACTTTTTATTACTTCCCCATTCTTCCCAAAAAAAAAACCAAAAAACAAAAAAAAAAAAAAGAAAACTACCTAAAACCTAGTAATATAGAGTGCATAAGCTAATATAATTAGCCCAGGGTTTTTACAAGACATTGATCCTATAAGGCATAAAGGAGAAGAGCTGTTATATCGTATGCCAATGAACCATCCAATTACATGAAATGACAAAAAGAAAGGCATCTGCTGTATTTATGTAGTGTGTGCATCTGCTATTCACATATTATCATTTATCAAAAAAGATATCGTGAAATGACCCTTGACACATTGAAACTAAATGTAATTTTTACATGGAATCAATTAAATACAATGTTACAAGAAAGGCAGCTCAGCACCTGGATCAACTTTGCTAACTGAATTCCCATAGTCATCTTCCAGCACATAAAGAAGTTTTCTGTAAGCATGCCCATCCAAGAGGTCCTTCTCTTGAAAATCCCGCAATAACTTCATGGCCTCCTGAACTCTTCCTTGTCTACATATCTCATCCAGCACAGTCCTATATGTAATAAAATCAACTGACCTCTGATTTTCAGTCATCTCCCACAGATATCTCATTGCTTCCTCAATCTCTCCACCAAGTGCCAGAGCATTGACAAGTGAATTATAAGATTTACTACTTGGGGTGAAGCCTGAAGTCTTCATTTCGTCACATATCTCTTGAGCATTCTTTGTTCTTCCTTGCGCACACAACCCGTGTATCAAGTAATCGTAAGAAAATGAGTTAGGCTTGCAAGCATAAACCATGCCCATCTGATGGAATATCCTGAGTGCATCATTAACATGGAGAGAAAGCACATAACCTTTAATCATGGAATTCAAAGAAAATATATCAGGCTCTATCCCATCGTTGACCATTTGCTTAAACAAACATCTAATAGTGTCCATATAAGCATGATTTATGTAAGAGTTGTTTCCTCTGCTCAACAGTGCCGCAAAAAGGATATTATAGGTTCTGATAGAAGGCTTGCAACTCAAATTTCTGCTACTTTTCATGTGGTTAAAAATATTGACAGCTCGAGTCAACTTTCGAGCTTCAGTGAAATAATATATTATAGTATTGTAAAGTGCCTCTGAACAATTTAATGGAACCGCAAGCACTTGATTGACAATATCATCCATTTCTTGGTACATTTGTGCTGCACCGAGCTTCTGGATGGTTATGTGATAAGTGGTGGCATTGTGCCGAAACCTGGGTTGTTGTGATGCCCAATTAAAGAGCTCCAAACAAACTAGTGGGTCTTCTTGAAAAGTAATAACATTACAGAGTTCTTCAGGAGTAAACCTTGGGGACAGTTGGGACATGGCCAGTTGGAATTGGGCTTGGTCTAGAGTAGGCTTCAAGGATTTTAATAGTCTCTTGCGAGCTCTTCTTCGGAATGACCTTGAAGGTGGCTTCGTCGAATAATGAGAAGCAAAGCAAGGGGGTTCACACAGCCGTGGAGTTTTCTTAGAAGAGATTTGGGGAACGGGTTCAATTTTATGAGTCTCGTAAAGAGTAAATTTCTTGGATTTTTGTCCAATGAGACTATTGAGCACAGCTGATTCATGAAACTGCTGCCCAAATGAGTTTGCAGAGCATAGATGATTCAAAAAGTTTCTCAGAGAGGAGCAACCATGTTTCAAGCAATTTCTACCAAAAGAATACATTTTTCCACCGTCAAATGAAGCCTATTTGCTTACCAGAAAAGTCAGAGATTTCCTCTTCCGTTAATTGTGTCACCTTTCCAGTTTGAGGAGACTCCCGAGACTGATGCAAACACAAGATTATATGATCAAATCCAAACCTCAAGGTAATAGGGGTGGCAACAAGGCTCGTTTATTCATTGCGTTGGGAGTCTGGATTTTGTGCAATTGTGAACCATTGTCGAATGAGATCTTCAGATGTAGGGTATTTTGCAATGTTTTAAAACCAGGACAGCGAACCGGAAATGTCAAGAATTCACAGGTATCATGGTCAATCAACAGTCGAAAAGATAACCTAATAATTAACTAAAAAATATATATATATATATATATATAAAATACAATAATACAACACCCAAGTCATTAATACAATAAAAAATACCATATTTTGCATCACACATCATCACTTGAAAATAATACAGAGCAGACTCTCATGTGCATAGGCATCATCACTTGAAAAAAAAAATTAAAGGGAAAATTTTGGTTAAGGACCACGAAGAAGAATTAATTTTCAGTTGGTTCAAAAATATTTTGAAATTTTAGTTTAATTTATGAGAGAAAAGTTAAAAGAATTTAGAAGATAAAAATGTTAAAACATCTTTAATTTGTTATACAGAATTACCCATTGTTATCTTTCTTATTTCACTTGTTAACTTATTAATATAAATTATAAATTACATGAATTGATATGTCAATAATTATATAAGACTTGACATTGGTGATTCAATCATAAATAGCAATATCATTGTTAAATTATTAACTTTATTTGTTAATTTACTAATATCAGTTGTAAATTACTGACAAGTCTTGTAATTTACTTACATTAATTGTAAACTAATAACTAATATTTACAACTAATGTTAGTAAATTAACAAATAAATCTACCAAATTAATAATTAATGTTACTAATTGTTTAACAAATGGCTGTAATTTACTAGTGATATTGATAAATTATCAAGTAAAAGTTTGAAAATTAATAACTAATTATTCTGCATGACAAAGAAAGGGTATTTTGATCTTTTCACCACCAAAATTATTTTGACTTTTCTTCTTTAAAATAAATTAAAATTTTAAAATGTTTTTAGATCCGTCAAAAATTAATTTTCTTACGTGATCATTAACCAAAATTCTCCCAACATAAAACCCCTATTTTGCAATAAATAAACTCTTAGACAACTAAAAATAGGTTTGGCCGTTCAGGACTATGATTGGAAGGAGAAAACTGAAAACAAGCAGGTCCAACATTAGGATGAACAAGACATCAAATTGTCAAGTTTCTCTTTATTCAAAGACAAACCTAACAAGTTTCTCTGATCCATAAACCCTTCCTCTCTTGGCCATATACCTCAATTTGAAACGTTGAGGGCTGAGGCTGAGAGCCTTGATTTATGTCCTAAGTTAGATCCATAACCCACGAAAAGACTCAAATTCACTTCTGCTCTCGAAAACAGAGCCAGCACCACTAAAAGAAGTGGAACAGAAAAGGAGGAGGAGGAGAAAGAAGAAAATCAACCACTAAAATAATAATAATAATAATAATAATAATAATAATAATAATAATAATAATAATAATAATAATAATCCCAAACTTTTCAGCACTTAATGTTTGACTTCATAGACTTAACTTAATAACCAAATATTATCATGGTAATTAGAGGACAATTACTCTAATCACCTTACCACGGTAAAAAAAAAAGTTTAATTGTAGTTAAAAGAGATAATCATAATAAAAAAAAAGAAAAAAACCCAAGTTGAATATCTACTATGGTAAATATAAATAAATATATAAATTTGACAATTTAAAATGAACAACAACAAATAGTTCCAACCATGGGAAAATATATTCTTACATGTGAGATAGGATTAACATTATTTAATATTTACTTTTTTTAGCCAATAAATTATTTAATAGTTATTAGTATACTAGAAAAGGGTAAAATCTGACACTTGTAGAAAATAATTTTCATAAACTATTAGAATCCCAACTTAAACCATTAAATCATATATATACATATATATATATCTATATATATACATATATACATATATATATATATATATTCAAACTTCAAGCAAGCATAAATCAAAGTTGGAAAACAATTAGAAGCATGGGTGATGTAACACAAACAACACAAACACGCACACAACTTGCACATATCTGAACAAAGGGAAAGAGTAGGGAGAAATTGAAACAAAAAAAGGAAGAGATTAGAGGCAGACAGAGAAAGAAGAAGAAAGGGAGGGAGAGGGAGGGAGAGCTTTAGAAACTCAATCACATATTATATTCATCAAAAGTGTCCATTACAAGTGCAACCAAGTCTATTTAACAAAACTCTAATGTATTAATAAGGAAACCTTAATTATAACATATAAAGCTACCTTTCAGATTTTCTCTTATAAAAGAACACAAAAGGAAGCCTTAACACCTTGTCCATATAAAGTTAGGCTTCTCTTTCTTACAAAATATTAAAATAACATAAAGAGAACTTATTTTTTTTCCTATAATAATGTCTCCCATATTTTCTATCAATTCCCCTTGTTGTAAGGAACTCTCCTCTGGAGAGATAGATAGAAAGTTGATAGGCTTTCAATAGGGCAGGATCAAGTTGGCTAAACTTATCTTCTGATATCAAAGTGGCATTTTCATTTGAACAACCCTTTCAATGAACCAAGTAATTATAGAGAGCCCCCTCAATTGTTAGGACAATTTGGTCTTCCATAATGGTTTCAATCTCTTCCATTAACGGTGAGATAGACAGCAGTGGTAGGATTAGCACTTGTGAGGGTCGAGTACCTATAGGATCATCAAAAAGCAAAGGGATGAGGAGGCTCAAAAGCTTATCAGTAAGGCAAAAGAACCTCCACATTAAAAACCAAACTCATGGCCATATTAGAAGGTAATTCTAAAAGATAAGCATTAGATCCTAACTTCTTTACTAAGCGAAAAGGTCTAAAAGCTCGAGCATGAAATTTTTAAAAGCGTATTTAGAATAACATTTTGGATGAATTCAAGCCATAACATAGTCACCTATATTGAAGCTTTGAAATTGACAATGAGTATTAGCAGATAATTTTTATTGATCATTCCTTGTTACTAATTTTCACCCAATTTCAGCATGTAATTTATGAAGGAGATGGGCAGAGAATTTTGCATATTCAAAAGTGCAAAATGTCAATGAGATTGGCATAAGGTTAATGGGCTATTTAGGATTAAAATCTTGAACAATCTAGAAAGGTTTCATGCTTGTGGACCTATTTACCAAATCATTATGCAAACTTGGCAGTGGGTAGTGTAAGCCTCCCCCTATATCCCCACGATATAAACAAAGGATTAACCTATTCATTACTAACCAAACCAAACTGTAAACAAATATTTTGTTTTAAAAGCTTGGACTTAAGACTTGTTTTTTAAAATATCAAAATCTTAACATATCAGAGCCATGCACAGTGGAAAAAAGTCATACACATTCATATCAATTATTATATGTCTTTAAAAATAAAGAAATAAGGTCAGATTATGGAGAATGTGCTGCGACATGTGGTACAAAGCTACACGCCTTGACTTTCTCTGTACCATGCACCATAGTGCAGAAGCCAGTTTCTGCTGTCGTCATTTGATAGCACAAATGATAAACTTTTAACGTGCACCATTTTCATATACGATGTCTGATCGGAGTGATTCAAGCGCCCACACGAAGCTTATCTCCCAAGCTAACTTATGAGAAAAATTTGGACATGATCTAACGATCTGATCAAATTTTGAACACCCAGGTGAAAAAGGTCAATTTTTACAAAAAATTTAGTGCACTTAAGTGCTATAATTGATCACATTGTCTTATTAGACCATATTAGACATTAAACCAAGTCTAAAAAGGACCTTATATATCTAATTGACCAAGTTGTAAAGCATATACACACATATGTCACAATTTAGTCACTCAATGGCCCATTTCCATAAAACACAACTTTCACAACTTGGCTCAAAAACTTTCCTCTAGTCATTTTCACTGTAATATCACCACAATTCTCAAGATTTCACATTCACAACATATTTATAACTAAATCTTAGCCCCGATTAATCATTTCACTACACATTTTCATATATAGGCTAAGATTCACAAAATCATTACAAATTTTCCACTAATCACAACTTAAACATGCATGCAATTCTTATGGCAACTTATATATACAATATTCACATCAAATTAGTTCATTGAACAAACTCAAGAGTTTTCACGACAACAACACCACTATGCCAATCCAAACTCTTTTCCTTTACCTTGATCACTACCCTGTCCTATAAAAATATAACCACAGGATGAGATAATAATCTCAGTAACAAAATAACTTTATGCTACTGACTATCATATATAACTATAAGGAAGTATAGTATAATATACAATTGAACATAACATATAATAGATGTTACACTTCAAATCTCATAAATATATATCATTTCACCACTTTTAAAACTATAGTCACCATAATTCACCACCTTTCTAAATATAGCATGATCATTACCGACCGAATTTCAAATTACCTCGACTTGAAACTATAGGTTCACTTTAGACTAATAGACACTCTCATTAGCCTTGAACTTACCTTCAGTGGTAGAATCACTCAGCTTAAGGTGTTTTACCTCACTTTTGGACCATGGTTTCCCCTAATATACACAATGGGGGTATTGTTGACTGAACACTACATCACATTGACACTAAGGAGTCTAAATCTCTAACACCACACCTTAATAGGTACTAAAGAGATAATCTCTAGCATCGCACCTCGAAAGATACTAAAGAGATATAAATTCTCCAACACTACACCTCATCGGACACTAAGAAGAATAATGTCATATGGTCTTTCTCTATATCTCTACACGAGTGAACTTCCACCCTTGTGATCATGCTTTCTGAACATAAGTTCCCAATCACCACCATACACATATATACATATATATACACATATGTAAAATTACATAGTTTCACTTGTTTATTTAACCAAATTTCATTTTCAGGTCATAACCATGCAATAACACAAAACATGCTCAGTTTAACATAGTTTCATGCAATAGATAACATACTTATACATAGTTACAATAAATAGTCAAACAAAGAAAGTTATTCGATTACCTCAATCCTTCTGTCACTATAAGGTTACCGTGGTACTTTCTTAATCGCTACTCATTTCTACCAAGTTCTCTTCTCACTTTACATAAGGATTATGCCGATCTATACATAATTGGCTCAATTAGTCAA